TACCACCGATATTGTTTTTAAGATCCTTCGTTCAAATATAAGCAGGAGCTTTTCATCTGCCTTGGAAATGGTCCATGTCTCCGATCCATATGTTAACACTGGTTGTATTAGAGTTTTGTATATGGGTATTTTTGTTTTTTTGGCTTAAGTTTCTGCTTCTCGTATGTCTACTATATCCAAAATAGCATTTGTTTGCAAGGATTATTCTTTGCTTGATTTCTTCAGTCATGTCGTTCTCTTGGTAATCAGGGAGCCTAAGTATGTGAATTTATCCACCACTTCAAAGGAAGAGTTATCAACTGTGAATTGGTGGCCGATGTTTCTGGCTCTATTGTTGGGTCTTGATGCCATTATCTTAGTTATCCTCATTTACTTGCCGGCCCATATTTTTAGAGGCCATTTTACTTTCCTTTAAGGATTAGTTGTAGTATTCTATATCGATTTTTCCTCACCGCATGTCTCACATAAGATATTTCCTGATGTTTAACAGTCTACCCATTCTCTATCTTTGTAGTACCCTCCTTAGTATGTCTTCATTAGTTTTTCTTGTTGTCCAAGGTATCTCCAGCGTCCATCTATGAATCTAATGAAAATATGAATTTAATTCTGTTCATATTTGATACATTTAGTGTCCACACTTCTGCTCCATACAATAATACAGACCAAATACATTTAACCATTCTTTCTCTTACATAAATCTAAACTGAGATTATTATTTCAAAAAATTATCTTCATATTCATAAAAATAGTTTTGGTCATTGCTATTCTTCGTTGTATTTCTACAGTGTGTAAAAGCCAAATGGAATAAATTCATTATTTAGGTTACTGTACATATTTATAAAAAATCCCGAAACACGTCAAACGTAATAAAATGTAGAACACGAAAAAAACTATGAATGTTAATGAAGTAGATGTTCAAAATGTTCACCGCAAACGTCTTGGCAACATTCCTAATCTCAAATAAAAACTGTCTTCTAACATTATTTAACATAACAGGCATTATCGACCTAATCGCAAGCGTTATTCGTTCTTTTAAGTCATTTAAATCAGAAGGTTTAGTTTTGTACACATGGCTCTTCACATATCCCCATAAAAAAATCTAATAATGTAAGATCAGGTGGATCGCGCTGGCCATTCAATCGATCCTCGCTTCCCTATCCATCGATTGGGACATATTGTATCGAGTGTACTGCCGGACATTGGTAATGTGGTGGTGCTCCATGGTGGCTGGAACTTGAGGGTTTCCTGGATCTGGATATAAATTTGCCAACGTTGGAATGACATCATTTTGAAGTAGTGCCAAATAATTGTTGCCATTCAAGTTGCCCTCAATGAAAAAGGACCAATGATATTGTTTCCTACAATCCCTGCCCAAACATAACCTTTTGACGGTATTGAGTGTGTTCTTCTCTCATCCAGTGAAGATTTTCCGTGGCCCAGTAGCTGCAATTTTGCCAATTAGCATGACCGTTAAGTGAAAAAGTATACTCATCAGAAAACATAACGTCTTCTATTTGGATAATATTGTTATCCAACATGTCCATCATTTGCTCACAAAAAAAAAGTTCTATCCATAATCATCTTCCATGAGCTCCTGAGTAGGTATGATCTTGTAGGGATGCAATTTATTTTCTTTTAATATGTTTACTATCGATGTATGGCTAGCATTGAATGTAATGGATGCCTGTCCTACTCGATGTATGTGGATTTTCCTGAAAACTCAAGCAACACATCTAACTTGAGTTTAACACTCAGTGCATTGGCAGCTGCTTTTTTTATCTGCCTTACATGAAAAAACTCGGCGAAACTGCTTCTCTATTTTACTTATTGTTTCCTTGGGATATAGGCGGTAAATTAGGAAATTTTTCATGAAATAGGCGAATTACTTCCTGTTGTGTTCGGGTGTTATCTCCTTATAGTTCTCTAGTTCTTTTAGTTGGCTCTCTATATGCTTTATATGAAAGTATTTGTTTTTCTTCTCATCTCAGCTGCCTATACTTTTCTCTGTTTGTCTCGTTCTTCACCCTTAGAGTTTTCTATATGCCTGATGTTTTCTTTGCGTTGCTTGTGCGCATTTCTCATCGTACCAGTCTGACCTTAATTTTTTACGTTTTTGCTTTCCGATAACTTCAGTTGTCACTTCTTCCAATATGCTCTACACTGCCTTAATATCTTAAACTATAACATCTGTGCAGCCTTTCAGCTTGCTTTCGAGACTTTCCTTGAATCTCTTAGCTATTTCAGGGTTCTTCAACGCTTCTACATTAAACCTTTCCTCTTTAATTCCTTTTTTTCTTTGCATTGGAGATTATAGCTCGTAGATTAGCTTGTAGTAGTTAATGGTCCGAGTCTATGTTCGCCCCGCGTCTTGCACGTACGTCTATCACGTCGCTGAAGTGTCTTGCGTCAACCACAACATGGCCGATTTGGTTTACTGTATTCCCACCTGGACTTCTCCATGTTCCCTTATGTACATCTTTGTGCCTGAAGCATGTGCTGACAATCACCATGTTTATTGAGGAGGCTAAGTGTATTAGTCGAGTTCCGTTGTTTTTTGACTCTTCATGTAAACTGTGAATTCCAATGGTTGGCATGTATTCCCTCTCCTTACCTATCTTTGCATTAAAATCTCCTATTAACACCTTTACATCATTTTTAGAACAATGTTGTATGATATTTTCCTGTTGTTCATAAAATTGTTCTTTTTCTTCATCCGGCTTCTCCTCAGTTGGTGCATGGGCATTTATTATTGAATATTTAAAGAATTTACCTCTTATTCTTAGTGTGCATAATCTTTCGTTGAGAGGTTGGAAGTCTATAATAGGGTGCTTTACTCTTTTATTGACTATGAATCCCGTTCCTAATTTGTGTTCCGTTGGATTACAGCTATAATATATCATACAATTCTTTTTCTCTAATATTTTATTTCCCAACCATCTCATTTCCTGAAGTGCAATTATATCGCTCTTATATACGTCTACACTATTAAAGAGAGACAGCAAGACTCCTGGTCTGTATAGAGATCTTACATTCCACGAGAATAATTATAAATCATTGTCCTTTTTCGCGCCGAGTCGTCGTCCAGATTTCAGTCCGGAAACTTTACCTTGAATTCTCGTAACCTGGAGTACCAGTGCGACCCAGTAAAAATAGTCATTTACTGGAGTATAAATACTTTCATAGAAAGTATTTGCTTTTATACTTTTACAGAAAAAGCAAAATGTATAAAAATAAATAAACTAAACAAAACATTTCGTTGATTATGTCGACCGACCTCTGAACTTTTCATGTAGTTGCTACATAACAATCTTAAATTATCGTCAATAAAATTATAAGCAACGATTCTGAAACTGAATTTTTAATCCAGTTCGTGCGAAAGTTTCGAGCGTTGTGAAATCCTCGACAATCAGAACTGTATATCTCTTTTTACATAATATATTGTTGGTTGCGTTTCTGTCTGCCAGCCAATTGCCATATACTTTTCCTAATGTTGCTTATTATTATTCAACGCTGGTCACGTTCACGTCATCTGACGATCTCGGTTTGTGTGCATGTATTCGATTTTTTTGAGGACACGATTATTCGATGAAAGAAAGATACCTTCGCCTGTGGCTGTAAATTCTTTGTTTTTCTGTTTATCTCTATAAAAAGAATATTTCTATAAAAATATAATATATTATAAAACTAAGTTTTATTAGTAATATTTCAATAATTTTTGTTTTTAAAAACTGAAACATTATTTTCATTTTTTTGCACTATGTTTGTGTTATACTTAATACGTTTTTTCTATTTCTATGCACATATATATCTAGTTTATTCTCATCCAGTATATATTTTTTGTTATTGTGAAATGCGCTGATCTAGTCCATATGTCACATTTCATTATCGGCTAAGCGAAAAAACTCCCACTTACCCATTAAGGAGGACGTCACAACAAAGATACTCCAGAAAGGAAGATAGAGACAGAAATAATTTGAGCTCAATTCTTAGTCGAATGCACATGAAGTAGCGACATACCGATATGTTAACGGACGAATTGAACAGAAAACGTACGCCTTTATTTAAACAACAACCTAAACCACCGTACAAAATAAAAGTGAGAAGTTATAAAATCTCTAAATGGTTCTTATAAAAAAAAGATTAAGAAAAAAAATTGTTCCTAGGGCGGAACACTTCCATGGTTCTGCACAAGGGAAAATGTAAAGAAAAGAAAAAAACTTACACTGAAATGTAGGTATGTCAACTAAGACATAAAAACATACGATAATTCAAGACAATACTTCTTCTTTATTTGCCTTCTCCGCGACGGAGG